ACATTTTTTTCTTTTGGTTCCTTTAAAATCTGAAGTTTTTATCTTGTCCAAGAGTCTCCCATATTTTATATTGTGGAGTAATTCTGATTCACCACCATTTATATTTTATCCATTTGTTAAAGCCTCTCCGTATGCTGCATTGGAGTCACACTTCATTTTCCCTACAAGTCATACATTTAGTAGAGTTGGTCAAATTAAATGTGAAAGAAAAAAAAATATAAATGTTCAAACATTTGACAAACGTGTAGGAACATATATACTTCTTATTTTGTAGTAAACTTTATGAACGATTCAGATGTTTAACTCATTTATTCAGTTTCCAGTTATCTTTAATAGCTGAAAGATTTTATGCATACCGTTTTTGAAAAATGACCGACATACAACAAAATGCTTTCAAAGCCGTTTTTTTTTTTTTTTTTTAATAGTCCATTGGACACATTTCAATTATCAGTTTAGGAATATTGTTGCATTTAATTGACAAATTGTTTAACCTTAAGTCAAGTAAGCAGATCAGTAAGCAGATCAGGAACATTAGGCAGAGTTTAAGGTATTTATGACGTAACTATGGATGCATGAGAGGGGTTGGTTTTAGATTAGTCACCACTAGATGGTGCTGCAGTTCTTGGAGAAGTGCCTCAAACTGAGAAAAACACCAAAATATAACATATGCAGAAAAACAGAAATGCAGGGTTTGTTTTCCAAGAAAATGACAAAAACAGATTTTCATAAAACTTTATTCATTTCTTTTTCCATTCAAGCCCAATAACAAAGGACATGAGAACCTCCGTTCCTGGTTCAACTGAAAACCTGTTGATCAAAGAAAATTAGATCTGACAGCAATGTTATGTTCACAGGCACAACAGCTCCCCCTTTTGTCTCCAGAGAACAAAACAGATCCTGATTCATAGCTTTTTATTTTTTAAATCAGAATTCCTGACAGATAACCCATCTCCTTAAATTATGTCAAGTTTGAGCTTACACTCAGAGAGGGAAAAAAACAAAAAAAAAACAAAAAAAAACAAACGCACACATATACAGTATTCAACCCACAGGTTTGGGATGCATATTTGTATTATTTCTACTAGGGAGAAAAAAAAAAAAGCCACCCTAAGATCGTTTTGAATATTTTGGCGGTTGGCTGGGAACATAACGCATCTAATTTTTATTATTTTTTTTTTCCTTTTTGTTTGAAGTTTTAGGCACCTTATTCTTATTCAATATTAGCAGACCAAGTTTCAATAAAAAAAACAAAAACAAACAAAAAAAAAGACAAGCAAAATTATGTGCAAGAAAAGAAATAGTATAAAAGAACTGCAGATATAAGATGCCACAAGGAATTCTGCACCTGGGGAAAAAAAAAAAAAACCTTCTGAAGTGGAGCATGTGAATACCAAAAAGGCATCTCAAGGCTCTAGACTGGTAAATTCCTTCAGAGAAACTACTTCGACATTCACATACACACTCACGCCATGCTTTTATACTACAGCCTTTCAAATAAAGCATTTAAAAACTGCTCAAAAAAACCGAGCAGAGATGGATCCCCAAAAGCTCGCACATATAGGACATATGATCCTCCGCATGGAGGAGACATTGATTTATGCAGTTTGAAGGAAAGCATACATCAGAAAAGAAGCTTGGTAACCAAAGTTTCCACATGTAAAGGAGAATTGAGGAACAAAAAAGGAGCAGATTAACGACATGCCAACAATCATAACCCATCTAACCCATTCAAACTTACAGGTGCAGAATTCCAGATGAAGCAGACTTTAGAGACAGCCACACAGTCCTCATACTGACTTAGAGAGACAAGGCCCCTTAGGAACAAAACCTCCAATTCACTCTAATCGCTTCTAGGATACGTCACACACGCATACAGTCAGGGATTCCCACGTACTCTGCAGTAAGACACCAGAGCTCTTCATAGATGGGAGGAGGGGAACGTTTCCTTACATGTTGAAATGAGGGCAAGGATTACACATGCCAGTTACTGCATGCGTGTGTATATTTTTTTGGATAAGTTGGTTAACGAGCATCATGTCAAATCAGTTTCCCTTATCCCCTGCGGCTTTCCATAGGGACAGCATCCCTCCAAGGCTGGCTGTGTATTGCTCAGTCGATGACACCAGGCTGCCGAGTCTTGCGCTCCACACTGAAGCCCTGCATGAACGGAGAAACAAAAAGTCGAATTAGTTTCTCAAAGATTTTTAAAGTCGTAGGGAAGCAGCTGTTCTGAATTCTCCTGAGTGGTGCCCGACTTTACACGAGTGAATGTTGTGGAGGAAGGTTCGCAAGCAAGTTTGATTGTGGCCGGTTTTCCCTCTGGGATTATTAAAGTGTGTCTGAGTCCGAGTTGTCAGAAGCATCTTGCTAACCAGTTAGCAACTTAGTGCTAGCAGATTCCCAATGGGAAATTACATTGCGACCAAGTAGCACTAAATTGGTGAATTAAGGCCAATTTATGCTTCTAACACACAGCCTCTGCAGCCATCAAATCTGTCTGTGTGCGCACGACCATGCCCCCCGTGCAGATTTTCTAAAATCGTTGCGCACCTAAAAAAAAAAAAATCCTGCCTGTGTGTCGGACAGTCGCAAACCGGCTCAGACATCAAGAAGAAGTGCGCAGACAAAAAGCAGCTGTGATTGGTCCTTTGCATGCCTTTCCAGCTGTCTTCATAGATGTGTGGTCGTCCTTCTCGATTCAGTCCCGGGGCGCGCCATTTTTAAAAACTGAGGAACAACTACAACGAAAGGTCAATCAAGGAGGTTCGGAAGTTCAACCACTTGTACGATGCCTCAGACAAAATATATAAAGATGCCTAGGTCTCTACCAACTCCTGGAGGAAGATCAGTCAGTTCCTTGAGCAGGAACACGGCATTGTTGTTTTGGAAGATAAAAACTCCTGCCGGCGCCGCCAAAGTTCTGGTGACCATCCGCTGAAGTTCTTGCGAGTTCTCGAATAGGCTCCCCCTTGCGCTTTGGCGGGAAACTGCTGTGAGTCCCTAGAAATTCCAGACCGACGGTGCAGAAAAATACCAGCAAAACTGGTTCGCAACCAGATCCAAGGGACATTTGATGTGTGCGGATGCAGAAGTCTAATCTGGCGTTTAGCAACAACACTGTCAACGCTATCGACAGTGGAAACATGCAAAAGGAGGAGAGTTTTGAGTCGGAGGTCTTGGATGAGTCTCCTCCAGGTCCCTTAAATGGAGCGCTCACAGAGCTCAGAGTATTAAGTTAAAAGTTCTCTTTTCTGTTGTTCAATACAAGTACGTTTTAAGATAATTTGAGTTGAGAATATTATACTTTAAAGCGTCACTATAAGGACCTATATTTATGCTGCGTGCTCCCGTTCTCCCCAAGTACACACTTTCCTGTGTTCCTCTCAAAAACATATTTGGCGAGGACACAAGTCTATACTCGCGTTCTTGTGAATTTAGAAACGGCCAACAATTCGCTCTCCAACTATACACCTGTAACGGTCACCACTACTCTGCGAAAAGATTCTCATTTCAACCGTTGCGACTCTAAAACCCTCTAACATGCAGCATAATCCTTGCATTTTAAAGGTCAGTGACCCACCTTTGAATTGTCGGGACCGCGAGGCTGTCGAACGATGACCAGACGAGGAGCGCTGGCGTCATCCAGGGTGATGCTTTTCAGGCGGTTCACCAGGCGGTCGGGACGTGGCGTCGCCACTGGTTTGGGTCCCTCGCTGTGACATAATTTCAAAGCTTACAACCCAACCTTTTCACAAATTGCATTTAAAGACTGCATCCTCCAAAAGCTGGTTCTTACCTAACTCTGCGTACGTTGCAGGCGCTACATTTTCCGGTGCGTTGATTGAAGACCACTGAAAACTCCACCTCATCTCCGATCTGGAGCTCAACGCCGTCCTGCACTTCTTTAACGTGGAAAAACAGCTTCTTGCTCTCTCCCACCTCATATGTGATGAAGCCAAACTGAGGGAAAAAAAAGAATTTTCTCTGCATCACATGCATGAAACTGCATCTGGCTTAAGCAGCATCAGTGCAAAGTCTCCTGATCACACACAGAAAACACGTTAAACGCAAAACAGCTCCAATATAAGCCTTTTTACCCCGAAACAGTTCAGGTGAAAGTTAGTTCACGATAACTAGAAAACTTCCAGTCATGGTAAATGCTCTGAACCTGGTAACATGTGAATTCTACATCCAAAGGCTCCTCCCAGCCATTAGCCCAGCTAGCTGAATCAAAGCTGCTGTGGAAGAAATTGCCCATCATTAACAAAGGCGGACAAAAATGAGGCTTTCCAGATGTTTAGGCATCAATGAAAACTTTTTAAAGGCCGAGTAGTTGGGATTTGCCTGCAGCGATATATTCTGACCCGTTTTTAAAAGAAAGATATTTTATCTGAAGTCCTTCAGCTCGTCTACCTCGTGATGAGCTGTTGGATAACATATAGTCTACCTCATGCGTTACGTTTATGTAGTATTGTTTACATAGAAACAGGAAAAGTCAATATCTCAAGTACATACAGCTGCTGATGGATTCTTTGTAAGCAGCAGTAAAAAAAATTGTATTTAGTGTAATTTTATCCATTTTTAGTTCCATATAATAATCTCGATGAGATGAGAAAAAAACAATTATGTAAGAAATAAAGTCTGGTAATTTAATGTTAACTTATAATAATTGAACTTTATTGATCTCACATTGGAGATATTTACCTCTAGATCTAACACATCCCCTTGGGGAGCAGTGGGCTGCCAGTTTGCGGCGCCCGGGGTGCAGTGTGGGGTTAAGGGTCTTGCAGAGAGACCCAGAGTGGCAGTCTGTGGGAGTGGGGCTCTAACTCAGAACCTCAGGATTCCAAGCTCTATGCCCTAACCAGTAGGCCGCCAATCCCCACTCAACTACATGATTACATCAAACTGGATTTTAGATTTTTCCATAATCTGGACATTAATAACATCTGGTCATAAACTACTGTGATTATTTTAGCCTTATATCTCATTGTACACATTATCAAAACAAGTAATGAACATAAACAAAAACTTTTACAAATCCCTGCATCATAAACAACATTGTTAATTCCAGCGTGTAGCTAATGTATAATGGATGAACCATACCTGGTCTTTGACACACTCCACTGGAGCTCTGCGCTGAGGGATAACATTGCAGGCCATCTTCTGGCCGGTTTGGGACACGGTGCAGACCTGGAACTTAACATGCTCTCCCTTCTGCAGACAGTCTGCCTTGTTCGTCATCCCCATGATACCAAAGGCAAAGTTCTGCCCTTTTTCTCCACCTATAAATATAAGGGTATTAAGAAGAAAAACTCTACTTTAGAGTTGATGAATATGATGTGGGGGTTTCACCGTTGAATTTGTAACACGACACAGACCTTCCTCTGTGACTTCAATCAGGCCTTGGTATTCAGTCTGAGAGGGATCCACACTGCGAATGGGTCGGATGATTTTCCCAGCAAAAACTGATGCGCCAACATCCTCGCCGGTACCATTCACTAAAATTACAAAGGTAGTACGTTTATCATTTTATCTGCCCAAGTTTTATCCATAAAACGATTGGGAACCATTAAGAGGTCGACCTCTTACCTGCAGACACCTTGGTGACCTTTTCAGCGCTGACTTTGTTTCCTTTTCCCTTAGAGAGGGTATACTCCACTGTATCACCTAGCTCCAGGTCATCCACATCCCCACACATTTCACTGGAAGAAAACCCAAATACATGCGTCAGTCATTTTCTTTGCCTGTTTTTTTGTATTTTTTATTATTTTTTTTATAAAAAACCCTCCTCCAAAGACCACCTACCTGTAGTGAAAGAACACTTCCTGGTCGTGATTGGCTGTTTCAATGAAGCCAAAGTTATCCTTCAGCGCAGCGACAAATCCGTGCAGTCTTCTGGAGTTGGAGGCATTACGGTTGAGAACCCTGATAGAAACTGCACTCTGATGGCCCGTTCGCTTCACCTCATTGATGCAGAACTCAACCTACACCAAAAACATTTGTTTTACCATCCAACAGATATCAACTCTAAAAAGTAACTTTCATATTTATTTTGTTTTACATCTGTAAACATACCCTTTAGCTTATGTTAAAACAATAACAATATTACCTTGTCTCCAGCTTGAGGGTACGGTCCTCCCTCCAGGTCTCTGACATGATACGGCACAGTGAGCTTCACACCGCAGTCTTCATATGCAATTACTCCCTCTTCAGCTTCCTACAGACAGGGTGACAGATTACATTAGTCACTGTCCCTTTACATAAACGAGTCACTTTTCACGACTTGTTGAATAAAACCAAGCAGTTTCTTATTCGAAGACAAGTTTTTTTTTTAAAAGATCTTCAACATTTTAAATCATTAATAAAACCAGCTCAGGTGGGTACAAAAGCATTAGCTCACTCTGTAGCAGCAGTGTTTGTTAGCATCAGCCTGGACCTACATTGTCACGTTTTAACTAGAAACATGTCCACATAAAGCAACATAGCTGTAATCAAATAAATACAGGATAAATGCTGGAGAGCTCCTTCAGTGGCAGACTGCTGCACCTTAAATGCACCAGGGAGCGTCATCACAGATCCTTCCCCCTAGCAGCTGGAAGAATATTACCACCACTGTTCCCAACAACCTCAGTAAGTTGTTGCAGTTTCTACCGTAGTCAGTTAAATAACATGCTGCTGTCATTCTGCACATCTCTGATGTTGCTGCCATTTTCAAATATCCATTACTGTAAAAAGGTCCGTAGCTGCATATCGGTTATTTATTCTCCAGGTGCACAGCGTGTAACGTTGTCAGGGTGATTTGGCACAAATTTTTTTTTATGAAGGATAAATGATTATCTCTACAGTGATCTTTAATTATTAAAACACAGGACGTCTTGTTTATGTGTAGGAATTTATATAATTGTCCACTATGAGAAACATCTGGTTTACGGAAACTGGGGGGGAGGGGAGATTTTTTATGTGTTGATAGTTGACGAGGTGGGTGTATAGCTAATGCTGGCAGTGTGGGTCAGGCCTGGTGGTGAACGGCGCCCCTCCAGGTGAAAGAGACAATTAGCGTGAAACAGATCATCTCATCCCCAAGATTCATAGTAAAGACACTTGTTCTTTTTTAGTATTGGACAATACGGGGTTCATTTGATTTGGTGGTTTTGAACTTAATAATAATCAGGTGTAAGGACCATATGATTGTTTGTTGTTTTTGGTATTAAATTATGCCCAGGGCGGCGTAGGCGCCAGTTGCGTGACATGTTACAAGCATTTATACTGTAAAAACACTTTACAGTATAGTATTTTCAGTTCAAATGAACAGCAAACAGCCACAAGTTTACTGAAAGACGTTTACTTTACAAACCAAGTCTGCTGCTTTTAGCATCTTTAAGTGACTGGTCCTGCAGCAGCATTGTGCTTAGTTCTCTCCCAGCTTTGAAAACCTTAGTTAAACAGGTCAGACCATCCAGATCCCATTCACAGATTAACAATTATATAATTTCCTATTTTCTTTCTTTAAACAACATTTTAGTTTAAATCCATTTTATTTGCAAGGTAGAAATCACAGGGCTGATTATTAGAAAGCACCACGTATCTCTGCTGTTTTCTAATCCATGACCTACACATAGCTGCCAGATATATTTGAAATAAAAACACCTCAAACCCCTCCCTCTAAAAAGAAATTACAGCGCAAGAATTGAAAAACTACTATAATTGCTTATTTTCAATATAAAATGCAGATTTTTACAGATAAATACTAGGTTTATCAATGCTCTGCCGTTTACTACAAAACAAAGGGTAGGAAAAGAAGTAAGAAATAAAGCTTTTCTACAAATTTATTTTTAAATAGAAATTCAGAATTCAATGTAACTGAGCTAATATTAGTGGAGTGGTGAGATGGTGAAATAACTAAGGCATCAAATATAGTGTTAGTGAGCCAAGAGTTCCAGCCATCAACCAGGTTTTTCCTCTAAAGGACGTCCCTGTGCATGTAGCTTCATGCAGATTTCTGTCCTACCTTGTCTTTTTTCTAACCAAAGAAGCAAGAACAGGAGGAGTTCATCGAGGAAGAAAACAAAGACCAACATTAGAACTAAAGAAAAAAACCAAGGTGGGCAAAGAGGGGAGGAAAAACAAATGTTTAGAGGAGGTGCAGAAATATACCTTCTCCTTTCCCTTGGTGGGACTTGAATTCTTATTGGCGGCTGAAACCACCTCTTTCTCCACGACGCCCACAAACCGCTGCTCAGACTGGGTGTGGAAGGACACAGTCCCTTTGGGGAGTTTCTTAATGCGCACTGCGTGGTTTCTCTGAGCGGACAGCATATCCTGGGGACGATATTTGCTTAAGTTTTTTTTTAAGTGACAAACAATCAGAATGTACTTTTTTTTTTAAAAAAAACAAAACAGTTTCAGGTAATACATACTTTTGTGAAAAGCTTAACAGAACCTACAGGCACAACAGTGAACTCCACTTCATCCGAGATGTGCAGCTGGCTCTCCTCCAGGACCTCGCTGAAGTGGAAGAACATTCTTGCATCTCGATCCACACATTTAATGAAACCAAAGCCATCTCGTATGGCTGCTATCACCCCCTGAGAGAAAGGTTCGGTGGTTAGACACTTCACGTGATGAAACCACAAGCTAAAGCTCATTGTTGAGAGAAGGGAACAAAAAAAATAATCAAACCATTTCACGGGTCTCCTTGGTCAAGTCGAAGGTGTCTGGGAGGATTTCAATGTTTGTAGCCCTCTCTAGTTTATCTCTGCGATCGGTGGAGATGTTAAACTGAATGTGGTCTCCTTCCAAAAGAGTCACCTTAGACTTTGTGTCCTTCTCTCCGAAGGGAAGCTCCTTCTCAGAGAATCCAATCCTAGCGCTGATGCGTCCAGGCAGGGGGTCACTCTGCAAGGGGAGGAGGGATTTTTCAGCTTTGTTTTCTTTTTTTTTTTTTTTTAACACTATAAACCAAGTTAGTGAATTTTCACCATCTGTTACTGTTATATCATCCAATAAAAACAGCTTCTGTTCTACTTGCCTGATTTTTTGTGGGAACCTTAGGAATAACTTTAACAACAGTGCCTTCAAATTGCTCAATGCTTATATCTTCAAAGATGACAGTTCCCTGGGGGAGCAGGCGCACATCTGTAGCTACTTCCTTCCCCTGCAAAAAACAAACAGCATTCGGTTATTTAAATGAATCATCAAGCGGCAAAAGATAAAACCGCACTGTATTCATAAACAGGCACTTACATTTCTGTCTTTGATGGTGAACTCTACATCATCTCCCGCCTGAAGAGCCTCCAGGTCCCCCTTAAACTCACTGTAGTGGAAGAAGATCTCCTTCACCACATCTGCCCTCTCAATAAATCCAAAGGCCTCCTAAGTGAGAAGCAAAATCACAGGTTTGATGGCTTACATTTACAGTCTTCCCACAAACCAACCCATCTTTATTTACATAGCACTACTGCCCACTACAACGTCAACCCAGTGCTCAACTACTAAACTTGGAGCAATAAAAAACCACATCAGAATAAAATAAAGCAATAAAAATCAGAACAAAGATAACATTGCTGCAGTAATACGCCAACAATTAGAGTTTTTAATTATTCTGGACGCCTCCCTGGTGAGGTGTTCCAGGATACGGTGGAGGGACTATGTTTCTTGGCTGGCCTGAGAACGCCTTGGGATTCCCCGGAGGAGATGGGCCTCAGTCCCTACTGAAGCTGCTACCCCTGTGACCCAACCCTGAAATAAGGGTGTCAAAAGTATTGATACTCAAAAAAGTATTAATACTAAAACATATCCGGATACGATACTCATTTTCAAAAGTATCGATACCACTGAAAAGTGTTATTTTCCCTTTAAGTCATAGAATGAAGCAGAGAGAAGTAGACCTCTGTCCAAAATCCATCAAATACAGCTGACTCTACAGTCTATCTTTGACCAACAACAGAAATATGATGCCAAGTCCCCAGAAGCTATGAAAATAAACAAAGCTATGGCAGAGTACATATGTATGGATCGGGTTGCCATTTGACTGTGGGGAAATCTTAGCCTGGGTGCCAGTCAGAACTTAGTCCCGCCCACAAAGTTTGAGGTCGGGAAGTTCGGTCTGGCTCTGCTCCATAGTAGCGCGAGTATTATCGCCCACTGTCAGGCGATCCAATCAAATTGTCAGGGCGGGCTTTATACGATGATGGACAGATGACCAACAGTAACGTAATCAACCACGTGACCAATGCGCGCTTGGGTGACAACAATAATGGCTGCCGCTGGAGAGGTGAGTAGATTCTGCTATTAGGTCTGTTCTAGAAGATATCGACAGCAAATTAATTTTAAAAGAGGGACAGAGAAACGCGATCAAGGCTCATCTTATTATAGGCGTGCAACTGCACGCTTTGATTTTTGTGGACAACAACTATGCCTGGCTTAACATACGTCACGCACTCCGTTGCTCTTATTGGTTGTAGGTCTATCCAATTGAGTGCAGAGGCTTTTTTTTTCCTGGTTCGTTCGAAACACCCCCCATAATCACAGCTCTATGGAGCAGTATCAGACTCATATTCTGACTAGAATTGAGTCGGACTACGTCAGGCTAGGGAAATCTGGGTTCCAACAACTTATTAAGCAGCTAAACCCAAGGTATGCTCTTCTCTCCCAGAATACAGCATTTATTTTTGTTTGTTGACTGGTTTGGCTAGTTTTATTGTTATGTGTGTAAAGCATAGCCAAGGAAGGAATACTTAACTTAGTGTTGTCATTTATTTATTTTTTTTTAAATCAAGCTTTCTTAATATTGTGCACAGCATACGACCTGAAAATATCATTGTTTATTGTACTCATTTATTGTGTTTTATTTATCAATAAAAAATATTTCTTTTAAATGTTGGGGTCTTTGTTCTATCCTTGTGGGATCGAAAATAGTATTGGGTATTGAATATTTTCCTGAGTATCGGTATCGACTTGAAAATTTTAGTATGGTGACAACTCTACCCTGGATAAGCGGGAGATGATGGATAAACCTCAGATCACCAGATTTAAAAGCTCAAGGAAAAGGAGAGTTTCTTTAACAGATTTAAAATCAGCTAAGCTTATTGTAAAAAACACAGCAGCCTAGAAAAGGATTTCTATTGGTGGAACTTTCCCCAGGTGTTGGTGAAGATTCTCAGTCTCCATGTCTGTCATTCCAAAAAAAGAAAATTCAAAACAATCCACTTGACTTTGTTTTAAGATGTTTCCCTTCCCATTTAGGAAGCTTTTTCAATGCAAAATGTCAGGCATAGCATTGAGTTCGAGGTTTTATACAGTTGCGTATCAAAACCTTGTTTTTGTTTTGAAACCATGTAAACTGAAACAAACAAAGGTATTAGACTGACGGGTAGGGCATTGCAGGCTACCAAAAGAAGCTAAACTACCCACGTTCCAAAGAGGTGGACCCCGTTGTCCGTTTTCAATTTGCATGTTTTCAAAAGGATTTGATGGGCTACTGTATAAAACCTCGACCTCAACGCTATCCCTAACATTTTTAATTGAAAAAGCTTCTAGATGGGAAAAGACACGTCTTCAAACTTGGAAACAAAGTCCAGTGGATTGTTTTTAAGTTTCTTGTTGTTGGAACTTTCCTCGGGTTTATATGGCTACAAAAAGGGACAAGTTGGAAAGGCGAAAAGTGTGGCCTCCAAGTCTGTTGGGTAGGCCTCTAGCTTTTTATATCAACAGAATAAAATGTATCCCCCTTAATTTCCCTCCCAACAGATTGAGCATTTTAGCAGCAATTGTTGCTCAAGATGCACTGGCGAGCTGCCCTGAGGGTCTGTGCTTCATTGAGATGCTCAAATAATTAAGTATTAAACAAATTCCACAAATTTCATTCTGAACTAAATGGTTAGTCATTTACAAACATATTTCAGGTAGAAGCCTAAAGAAAACAGCTGATGGACAACAACTGTTTCAAAACAATGGGAACATGGGAGCCCATTGGTATCATTTAATTTGATTCTATATAAAGCCAGTATAAAATACTGAAAGCTTGTATATGATGCAAGTTTTTGGTTAGGATAGGTTAAAAAAAAGTTTTAGTTTCATGGATCCTTCCATCAATCTGTGCACCTGTTTCATCTAGTAACCCTTACCTTTGTAGCACACACCACACCCTGGCACCTCGCCTGCTTTTTCTTCACAAGCTGAATATTGCGTGCGCTCACTGCGCCGGTACTGAAACACAAACAAACAATTACTACAGAGTCAAGAGCATGCCATTAAGATAAACTGGATTTAAAATTCAAACTTACTGCTTGTTTGTCTCCATATAAAAGCTGACTTTGTCACCCGTCTCCAAAGGGCCACTACCCTCCACATCATCAGGAGTATAGGTCAGATAAAACACTTCCTGCAATGAGCAAACAGTGTTAAAAAGGATTGGGGAAAAGAAGAGCTAATTGAATGAAGAAGCATCCATGATGATAAACGTCTGCAAACAGAAGGGAGAAGTTTGAGCTGCTCTTCTTACCCCATTTCTCTCATAGCAAACACTGCCGGTGGGAACCTGACCAGGAGCCGCCTTCCCATCCAAGTTTGATGGGACAGACGAAACAACCTGTATTAAAAGAGGAGACAACTCAGCTGCAGGCCAACAACAAACTACAAATCACACAAAATTATTGAATCATATGGTTCAAGGACGGCACAAACATGTAATGATTGAGATCAGTTTGTCAGGAATGTGATTGCATTGAACCCGACTGTCCTTTGATACGTTTTGCAAGATAATGAACAAATCCAGGTTTAAAAAAAATAATAATAATGCTACGTTCAGACCGCATGCGATAGAAGCAGCAAAAAAAGCTTCTGCTGCTTCATTTTGTATGCTCATACATTAAGATCCGACATGCCTCAAGAGCATCCTTGATGCTCCTGCAGCGCGTCCAGTAAAGTGTGTACAGATGCATCTGCTGCTCCTGTGTTCAATAGCAGAGTGGCTTTGCCATATTTGCTGTTATAAGGGGTAAAAAGTAGTCTTACGTTTTTAAGTGAGAAAGTCCAGATAAAAAGTTCCTCTGTGCAGTTAATACATCAAGATTATTATCCTGACTTCAAATATTTCGCCGTCGGACCAACACAAAACTCCCGTACCGACGGTGCTCTGTCACTGGAAATCCCCTTCAACAGCAGCCTCTGGCCCGGTCGCCTCTTTGGGGCTTTCCGCTGCTGATCGTGGCGGCTTGAAGGAGATGTTAGTGCTTTTCATGTATGTAACCAGAATAATAAAAGCGAACATATTTTGCCTGTGTTCTGTCAGATGAGCATACCCCGTCAGACCAGCATACCTATAGTCAATAGGCATGCACAAGACGTCAGAGTTGCGTGTTATCCCTTTACTTTTGTACAAAAATAAACTAAAATACTGCAATGGGTGTGTATCCTTTTAGTCATATACAATAAAAAAGCAATTTAAGGTCAGATCCCCATGCGCTCAAAAAAACAACAAAAATAAGTAAGGCGTTCAGTTTATTTTTCGTAAAAAACTAAAGGGATAAACTGGTATTGACTATGGGTATGCTGGTGTGACAGAACACCAACAGGTTTCAATATTTTAAGTTAATTTAGGTGTTAAACTGTTTCAGAGGAGCAATTATATGATCTGCATCAGCAGTGCTGTGTCCGTCTCCCTGCCAGCTCCAGATCAGCTTCTCTGATTGGTTGATGTGGCGCGTCCAGCAGCAGAAGTTAAATTTTTCCAACTCCAGCAGCTGCTGCTTGTGAAGCGCCTCAGCTCATGAGGCGCTGCTTCAGCTGCTCAGATGTATCAAGATGCACAGCTACTTCTGCTCGAGACGCGCTGCAGGACCTTCTGCTGCGCCTCAATGCACGTCAACCATAGACTTTGCATTTAAACCACCTGCTTCTATGACTTCAGCAGCGTGCGGTCTGAATGTAGCACAAGTTAACACCTAAATCTGTTCAGCTTATGTCTCCGTGAGTCATACTGAAGGGATTAGGTCATCATTTTGTGATTTAGTTTTGACCGAGGTCATAAAAGTTCCCCAAAGAACTAGATCAGTTGACAGAATCAGTTCATGCATTAACCTTGAACAATTAGGTGTGTTAAGTAGGGATGTCCCGGTCGCCAATACATCCCCCTCAGTCATTAAAGATCAGCATTTGACAAAAAGAGTCCTGATTAGATACTAGTGCCAGGGTAAACAGACACAAAGTAGGTTTTGCAAGTTGTGATAAAAAAACAAACAAAAAACCCACACATGCTGGATACTGAAGCAGACCAAAAATATAAATCAAACAGGACAACAGTATTAAACTGTTATTCTAATAGAGGGCAATTAAAATCTGATGAGGTGGACATCCCATAATGCATGGGATTTAAAATGGATAAGTCATGTAAATGTAAGGAAAAGTCCCCCATATGCTTGTAGCGAGAAACGACAAAACATTTGATTTTCCTCATTAAAGCCGACAGACAATGACAACCAAAAATAAAACGGTGCTCTTAACTGGATGAATATAACCATGCAGCACAGTAAAGGGATAGACGTGCAGGTCTGGCCCCACCTGGCCCGAGATGCGCTCCTCTGGCAGCACTTCTGGCTTTATCTTAAGCAGCTTCACTGCTATGGGCTTGCCAGTGCGCCTGTCAGAGGATACCTCAAACTCTACATCATCTGAGGGCAGGAAAAAAAAAGAAGCAGATTTAGAGTAAAAGTAGCAAAAAAGAGCTTTTGATTTAAATGCAGGATTTCCATATCACTAGGTTTTCAAATTCGCCTCAGGTACTGACCTCCTATTTTGAGCTCCTGCAGATTGCCGTTGTATTGGGAGCAATGGAAGAAAAGACGAGCCTGGCGCTCTGAGCATTGGATGAATCCATAGGAGGTCAAGAGCTTCTCCACCACACCGGTCTCTCTAATGCCAGGCCCTGAGCCATTGGCATAGGCAGTATGCCCATTGTTATGAAGCATGCCTGGGTCAAAACTCATCTGAAAAGAGAACAAACTGTTAAATGCATTTGGCAGAGCATTTATATAAACATGTCCAAAAAGGAAAAGGGGTGAGGGAGCAAATTCAATGCAGTGCTTGATGCAAACTTAAAAAACAAAACAAACAAAAAACATGCAATAACATCAACATTTAGAAAATCTAATAAGTAAACTATGAAGAAAAAAAATAAGTAAAAACATGTTAGAACCAGCTGGGATAATCACTTCATTCAGTATATTAAGAACGATACAAAAAAATTCACACCGATTCAGAATACTTAGAATTCACACACTGAATATTCTGAATGTCATCATGCAAAAATAAAAATTCACTTAAACTGCAGTGGACCTTCCCACCAACACAGACGGTTCTAGAAGTTAATGCTGCTCCAGTTAGAGGGATCATATGGTTCATCTAAGCAATACCGGCCCAGTGACTGTGTTACAGCGCCATTTCAATAAAAGTCAAAAAGTGAACGCCACAATTAATTCATATTCTGCAAACCTCTACAAACCATGCTGTTAGCTGAGTTCACAACGGCAGCTCACAGAGCAGCTTAGTCAATGTTTCCCCCTTACTGATCTCTGATACAAAGGAGTCCGCTTGTACTTTTTACTTCCAGGATGAGGATGGCAAGAGACGGAGGAGGAGCGGGGTATGGGCATGGGGGAGGTGGGTGTGGCAGAGGCTGAGCCACTTTTGCGAGCAACAGGAGGTTCAGAGGAGCCCCTTTCCATTTCGGACACGGGGGATAAAGCCGCAATATGCTGTTGGAAAAGGTCACAGCTTTATACATGCTGAGCAATTTAGCTGAAATTATTGCCCAAAACAAATAAATGCTAGTTTATTGGACACCCCCTTTTTTAAATATATTTTTTTTATAAAGATTAACAGTTATACATCACTGTTCTGTGATAGGAAGATGTCTGATCGTCCTGACTTTGCAGAATAGACGAGGAAGGCCAACCTTGACGCCCACATTGTAGCAAATCTAACCTAAAGTATAAAAAAATGTTTAAAACTGTGGGGCTGATAAGTCTTTCCAAGCCCAGCACTGTCCATGCCACTATGCCAAAATTTTATGAAGGTCTTTGACTCAGTCTATTGCAAGTTGGAGAGGAACGTTGAATTTTAGATGCTGCAACAGCCTCACCTTGCTTTTGTAACCCCCCCCCAGAAATTAGCCCCACAAACTCACAGTATTATTAGATTGACGACCTTGGCTGAAACTCAAGCAAAGTAACATGAACTTTTAGCTGAAAACAGGCTGATAAAAGTTTAGTTCATACAGTTTTTTTAAATCAGCCTCCATCATTATCGCATTTTCAATATACTAGTTCAGCTATGGCCAAGTTTGACTGCGATACCATCTTTATGTTGTTAAGATTGTTTTTTTTAACCAACTCAGTGATATCACATCCATTTATTACACATGACCTCAATTTAAAAGGAAAAAGGCCAAGTATGCCTTAATGTGAAACGATTTTAAATCAGATCTAATCATCATTTGCACACAACTTTAATCCAAAATCGCTCATAAATTCCAACAAGTCCCTGCCAGCAGAACCAAGACTCCCTCTTCGGAAATACAAAGGCTTAAAATTGGACCTAAACCACAATAATAGAGAAACACAGAGCAATCAAAAGAAGTCCGATTAAAACCTGAAGGGCATTGCTGCTAATAAAAACAAAACTGAGGATGGAGAGTCAGAAAAACGCAGATGGTTCAAACAGCAGTGGATCTACGGTGAAAGAGCTGGTGATGGATTATGGGTTATGGAGGGAATCCCAGAGAAGCCTCTTTCTGCATTACCGCGATGAGCAGCTCTGGCTGAAACTCAAACACATGAATGTCCATTTACTGTGAAAATTAGGCTTTTTAAAAATATTTTCTTCAGTTTTAGTTATGGGGTTTAGTTATGGGTGAGCATTTCAGTTTATTTGGCATTTTCCAATCAATTTTCGTTATTTGCTTTCTTGATAAAGAGTGCAAGATCATGCAATCCAAACATGATCTGCTCCGAATGTCCACAAGAGATTATGCAGAGTAGTATATTTAAAAAATTTAATAACTGAAAGAAGTAAAATTAAGGCTCTCCTGGAATTGCAAGAAAGAAAAAAAAAATCCTTTAACTTTATATCTAAACACCCCTCGCCCTGCTGGAATATAATTCAGTAGAGGCTCGTCTTGGGAGTCCGAAACAAATGAAAGATTAGGCCATTCATAGCAAAGATGCAGGGCAAGGTGGGTGAATGGGTGTTTGATGGGGGTGGGACTCGTAGTAAAGGAGGTGGGAAGGTGAAACTTACGGATCGGCCATATGGCGACAGGCTGAGTCCCACAGGGGAGGTGCTGCTCAGGTCAGCACTAACAAACGCGGTAGGTGGCGACGCAGGCAAGGTAAACTCAACAAAGCCTTTCCAGGGGCTGCCCATATTTTCCCATAAACTTGAACCAAAGTTTCTTGAGCACTTGCTGAACTTGAATGCTTGTTTAATGTTTGCTTGATTTTTTTTTTCTTTCTAGAACAACTGTTAAGTAACCACCCAATGATACGCTGGATGTCTGCAATGGTGAAGAGAGGAACAAACATGACGGGTGAGGAAGAAAAGTTCAGCCGGTCTGCAGAGTGCCACTAACACACAAAAATATGATGTGGGCTATAACCCAAAGGGAGGGTTGGAAAGGCGAAAATTACTTAGGAAACGACTGAATAGGACGTTGATGCAGAGTTGGGTGAGAGAGCAATTCAAACATTTATCCAAACTGAATGACCAGCTGAGATTAAAGTAGCAGAAGGAGCAGTTCAGCCTGCTACTGCAGTGTTTTAGAAAAAGACTGCAAGTCAACGCACTTTCCAATGGGTTCTAAATTATGACTTGAAAGAACAAAAATCCTAAATGATCTAAAGCAATAGATCAACACAACGGAAAAGTTACCCAAAACATAGCAAAAAGTTCACTGAACCGTTCATACCATAACACTACCAGCAGAGATGGACGCCAGCTAAATATCATTCTCAGCTCTCGCTGGAGCATCTTTACACAAAACGGATCATCTCCACTTTGAAGTCCGACTATGGTTTTTTTGTTGGCTGGAAATTAACCACAGCTATTATCCAATTTTCCAAAGTTTATATGGCAGACATGTTCACAAATTTAGCTAAGGTGATTCCGCTAGATACAAAACAGGTTTTTAGCAGATTTGAATCCAATGGCAACTGCGGAAAAAGATTGGATAAACTTAAGTTTCAAAATAAAACTGCAGGATTATAAAGCAGTAAGACCACGACAAGTTTCATTTTTAACTAACAAGAGTGGGGATGAACTTAATGCCTCAAAGTTTTTTGTGCTTATTTGGATTGACACAAGCTTACTTACAGTTACTAATAGTAACCAAGCTAATAAAGGTTTTTTTAAACATCTTTACAATGATTTTATCTTCGTTAAAAAGATACAGCAAGCTGTCTCTATGATATCACCCAATTTCCTTTATGTAAATTATTACTGAGAGCCAATGACAGGACTACTGAATAAAAATTATTTAATTAATAATGTGATATTTTGCTGGCTAAAGTCGGCAAGGTCAAGTTTTGACCAGTTCTGCAGTTTGGAAATCACCCAATTTTCATTCGTGCCTCTAATATTGTGAAGGGGGAAAAAGCAAAATCAATGTCTGCACGGATTGTAAATGTAATTCAGGATTAAATGGTGAAGTAAAAAAATGCTCTGAAACACATTCCTTTAAAGTATCCATCCACCTAAATATTTCATTTCTAAACCCTAAAGTAATGGAAATAGCACAATAGGTTTGCATACAAATAACAGACAAAAAAAGAAAAAAGTAAATAAAAAGACCAATACTCACCTTTACGGTTTCTTTTATTTCAATTCTCTGGATCTTGATGACTTTGTAGAGCTTCTCACACACAGACACACAGTTTAACACATGCACACTCCTGACAAGTTTCTGGCACAAGATCTAGGTGGTTGCATAAAGTAAGAAAAAAAGAAAAAGGAGAAATCTAGCACACGAAAGGCAGTTGCAGGTGCAATAACACTGCTTAGAAAAGTTATAGAGAAAACAAAAGGAGCAGTAGAGAGAGACGGGTAAACTATGGGAGGGTACTAGCAGATAGCAGCCCACGTGAGTCGGCAGCGTAGTTAGGATGAGGAGGGCTAGGAGCAGCGTTGGGACGTGTGCTTTGTCAAAGCTGTTGAGTAGGCACAAACTTCTGGTTTCAGATCAGTTATCTTCTTAGAATATGCTTGGGTATAGGATTGCTTCTCTTTCACGTTTCAGTTGGGCCGATGTGCGTGTTCTTTGGTCGTTTCAGGATTTGGTTTCTCGTGGTTTAAATCCTTGAAGTGATCCTTTCCCCCCGTCGTTGCTTTTGCGTTGCTATTTATTTTGATCTGGGAGGTTTGTCTTCAGTTCCTTTAGTTGTGATCTGAACTTGAAGCAGTTGCGGATGGTACAAAAATTCAGTTCGGTTTCACTTCATACTGTTGGGAGAAAAAAAGGATTGGGTAAGAGGAAAATCCAGTTGCTTTATTTAAAAACAAAATAGTTTTAGGGAAACTGAAAACTACAGCTGGTAAAATGTGAACTGCAGGTCATCTAGCAGAGTAAATACCCTGATTAATTGGCAGGTGTCATCAGTTTGTGATACTTATGTTTTTCTTGCTGCACTAAATATATTTTTTTTCATCTGATATCTCACAGGTGAACAATACGATGCATTTGACGTCTAGTGAAGAACAAACGATAGACCCTTTTTGACGAGGGACAATTATGACTCAATTCAATCCTGACTAAAAATTATCCTTTATATTGTATGGACAAAACTTTCTCTTAATAGTTAACATTTTTAAAACCTATAAAATAAAGACTGAGACAACACGGATGAGGACTGCTTTATTTTGTAACCAGAGTGTTGTTGACCTAAATACACTGCTTTGTAAACACCATGACTGAACCGTCCTGCGACACTTGAGCCCCAGACTGTGTCGCAACACCACAGATAGGCTACAACTTGAGACCATAACAAGCTTTAAGATGGGTAACATGAAGTTTAACGGGCTGGGAGAAGTGGGATATTGAGAACTTTTAGTAAACATTGAATAAAATCTATTTAGATGAATTTAATGCCACCAATTACAAGGCACTTGGGACATTTATTTATTCAACAAAGAATAGTGAGATATCAGCAAAGGAACTGTTACTGGTTAGTTAGCTTTATTGTACCAAATAAAAACGTGTTTCTTTCATTCTGAGTGTTTTTATTGAATTTCTCATAGAAAAACTTCTGTTATTTTTTCTTGATATATTCGGGCCAATTGGCGTTTCTTGTCATTACATTTACACTCATTTTTGCCATCAAAATATACATGTTTTTTTAAATGTTACAGCGGTAATAAGGTCTGGGTGGTATGGATTCCAATAACACTATTGGCTTGAAATTTTGATTTTCAAAGTATTTAATTGAGTGCCCTATAAAGTGTTAAAAAGGTCATGAGTTAAGAAGAGAGGATAGTTCTTCAGTGAAAAGAAATTGGAGCAAATACACTTCCCATGTAGAAACAAACAACATATATTTATGATAGGGGAATAAACTGAAACATCGTTCTATTAGAGAACAAATTAAAACACAACTCAATCTGTTAGCAAAAGGCCAGGGCCTGAACTATTCCTAGGCCCCAAAGAAAAGCGCTCTGACAGAGCCAAGCATGTGACTTCCTGACAATCCGCTATCCTCTGCTGGAACAGCAGCCATGGCCTGAGCCAACACGTTGCAATATGCACGTCACATCCAGGCTAACCGAGGCTAACAAGCTCCACTGAAAAACACATGGAAACGCCAAATACCCCTTTCAATACTGAATAAACAGAGAAACAAAGTTAACATGGACGGTTACTGTCGTCTTGCCTGTAATAAATCAGCATGTCGCTTGCATGTAAATCCAAACAGGCTTCGGGAGTGTCCCACTCTTAAAGAGATATTTAAACCCCAATGAGGAAAATATGCAATAACGCGATTGTTTTTAAAAAGAAATGTATATATATTTGGTAAAAGTAAGACATAAATTAGGTTTTCATGGATTTTTTTCGTATAGAAAGATTAAATATACGTTGGGGTTTCAAGGTTAGTACAAAATGTGACCTGGAACTTAGTAGAGGACTGAGCTACAATGGTGTAATCCCACATCTAGTATATGGGACAATATATCCATATTATGATGAATAAAATATTTAAGTGTAATTACAGTGCAGTTGGATTGAAATAAAATAAGGGTAAATATACAACAATTCAAGCTTGGAGTTGACGTTGTAAGGCATATGATAACCAATAAAAGTAGTGGGTCTATTAAATTAACGTAATAGTTTCTTTCTTTCTTTTTTTTTTTTTTGTTCTGACAGCAAAAAGAGGACAAAACATCCTGAAGGCTAGCGGCACGAGGACTGGAAAACAAAGAAAGTACGTAAGAGCCGCAAGCACACTTTTACGATTCGTTTTACTTATATTTTATCGAGTCGGACATAGTTTCGATAAAATTAACTATAGAATTGATATATAGGGATAATTGCGAGCATGTTTATTGAAGTTTTCAACAATGTCGCTGAGCCCTTCTTAGAGCTAAGCGGCTAGCGACGGTTAGCTCTAGCATGCTACAGTGCTAACTGGCCCGTTGTGTGAGATTTACACCTAGGCTCCCCCACCCAGGCCCAACGTCTGCGTTAGCGGCTAACGATAGGCACCAAGCTCATTCCGAGCGGTTTGTTGGCCGATAAAAAAAAAATATTGACATTGTACGTCTCAGAATTACATTTTACAGTTCAATGAAACTTAAATATGTATAAAAACTTACCCCAACAGCTTTCAGCACTGTCACCAGCGCCGCTAGAAGCAGCACGGCACATTACGTAGTGATTAGGGAGGCGGCTCCCGCGATATTTGACAACATCAAGTTCCAGAAAGAGTAGTAGATCTCTCAGCTGGCTCTGAAGTCTCGCGATGATAGACAAAAGGCAACTAAACGATTGCTTTGTTGGTAAAAATTGACCTCAGTCAGATTAAATATTAGAACACAAGTCTGAAGTCGTGTCGCTGTATCAGTATGAAATCTTTTTATAAGAACATGTTATTCCTTAAACCAAAACCAACCTTATTAAAATACTTTAACGTTTTAATACCTTTTGATACATTCTTGATAGATCTCATTCTGTTTCCTATATTCTGTAAAACTTTTAAGTTATCTTGGGCTAAGGGTGTAACTTTGTGATAAAAGTTAGTGGGGACAGTCTAAGTGTGGAGGCTGATGGACCTACAGTTACTCAACACACTTTCAATAGGCAATAGGTTTGTATTTTCCAAAATTGAGCTCAAACATATATTTTTTCAATGCTATCCTATTGTTGAGAACACAAATAACCAAATACACTGATATTTATATTTATGGGTAGTTAGACATATAAAAAAAGGATGAATATCTGTGGATTCTGATGCCAACAGCAATACATCATGCCTCCCTAGTATGCACACAGTTTCAGTTTCATTCATCCATCCAGAAAAATGTGGATTGGTTGATTGGATGTTTTCCCTTTCAGTTACACCAGTGATTATCCTCCTTCAAAATCAACAAAATCAAATTTAGAAATTTGTCCCACTTATTGCTGAGAGCCAAAGTCTATTGAAATTATTGTTGGGGACATGTCCCCACCAGGCCAAAGTTGGTGGGGACATGTCCAGTCCTTCAGAAAGTTACGCCTGTGTTTTGGGCCATCCGTAGGAGGCATTAGATATTGTAAAAAAAGGCGAGGTAAGCTTATTCAAACCCATGAAAGGCTCGAGAATCAGAACCATGCAGGGGCTAAGAATAAGAAACCACTGGATAAAGGTATTTTAATTTAGTCCTTAATTATAAAGAAAGAAACAGAACAAAAAAGAAATACAGTTTCAAAAAATACTAAGCTGATAAATGGTGGGTTTGGAATAGGGCTGGAAATCCTGAGGTTGTGGGTTCAAAATCCACTCCCACAGACTGCCGCTCTGGGGTCTCTGAGCAAGACCCTTAATCCCTGATTGCTCCTTGGGGGTGGGTTTAATGCAGAGAGTGAATTTCTCCAATGTGGGATCAATAAAGTTCAACTTTTTTTTTTTTTTCTAAATGAACTGATACGTTGATTAGCTTTTGTGTTTACTTGAAAAGCTTCAATCAAACTTTACAAACTGAATGAAAATTGAATGCAACTTTCCTTTTATATTTGGTTTCCTAGAAACACTGAGTTAACATTTCTATAGGGACTCGAGTGATTGAAATGGCTCACACCTGACAAACATGTTTAGGCCCAAAGTCATTCATTGGCTCGAGGCCCTGGTGTTTCTTTAATTGGGACATTTAAGGAGACAATTACAATCCTTTAATGTATTATTAGAGAAAACCGTAGATAATTCCTTCAAGCATGGAAGTAAACTGTTTAACCTTGTGATGCAAATCAAGTCTAGCCTAAAATTGTTATGTAAGTTTGCGTGTTTTGTGACCAAAGACAATAAAACCTTGTTTGTATCAAGCTAGACAAGTTTCTGCTCTTTCAAATCTTTGACCTTGGATACGTTCACTGACTTGTAGAAAAATGTAAGAGTTGTGCGTAATCAGCTTATATAAATTTTCCGACATGCTTATCGCTATTAGGGTTGAGAGGGGTGCTGGTAGTAATCATCATATTCCCTATGGTAAAAGACTCCATAATTCAAGGTGCACATATAAACTAAATGGAGGTGGCCTGGCCTGTAAATGGAGCCTTGAGGAACCGCATATGTGATCTTGAACTGACCATAAATATAACAGCAAAATAAGACATAGTAGCCTGCAATAATCTGCAAAGTGAGATTTAAAAGAGTTAAGCAGAATATCAGGATTCCTCAAACTTGTTAACTTTATTAATCAGTCTGTTATTAAAAACTTTGTCACTGCAAAAATAAATAATTCATCTTGCACATTTTATCATGCAAAAATTCATGAGAGTAGAACTTTTTGTTCTTTTAAAAATGATTAACCTTTTGTTAACCTCAACCATAGCAAGATATATTCAATATGCAGTACGGTCGAACCTTTGAAATACTGATTTTATTCTGTTTGTTTTTTCATAAGGTGTCCTGTCACACAGAACTGCAGTTAGTGTCAAGTTGCAAAGGTGAAAAAGGAAAGAGAGAGAGTAAAGACTGTCTTTATTCAACATCTACGGTTTACTGATAAAAAAAAGCTTGATTTTCTACTAGTACTGGTCTGCTTCTGCCTACCCATAAGGTGTGCTTACCCAGCAGTCTCAGCACAGACTCCCAAACTTTCCTCTCTTCAGACACATCCTCCAGCTGCTCGGGGTTATCCACTGTGCCTCCAAATGGTGTGTACCTAGCACCTCCTAAAGGAGGCGTCCAGGGAAATTCTAAATGGATGTTTAGAACGTTGCATTAGCTGACTGCTCTCGATGAGAAGAAGATTTGCAGTCTCTCCCTGATGACTGAGCTCCTCTTACTATCTTATCTCTAAGGGATGGCCCAGCAACACTGAGATGATAGTTCATTTCAGCTTTTTGTATCTGGACTTGTTCTTTCAGTCATCATCCAGCTTTTATGAACTGCCACCTTAATGTGGTGGAAGAGTTTCAGCACTCAGTTGAGCCCAGAAGCTTAAGTGCCCCTGGTGGGTTCCAACAAGGCTAGCAGGGTCTGGGTGACAGATCAGACAAGGGGCAGTTCGAAAAGCAATTAAGAAGACAGAGAGCCCGGACAGATATTGGTTTTTAAATAGTTTTTATTCAAAAAGATGTTTATTGATGATAAAAAAAAAAAACAATATGACAAGCATATCTCAAAAGATAAACCAAGCTAAATCAAAAATATGCACACCCTTTCTTTAGATAGTGTTGAAGTTTGCTTCTGTAAGGCATTTTATTACAAAGTTTTTATAGTAGGAATAAATCAACTGATAGAATAAAAAAAACATCAATCATTCAATATTTTAAAATATATATATATATATATATATATATATATATATATATATATATATATATATATATATATATATATATATATATATATATATACATACATATACATAGATACATACATACATACAAGAGGTCTATCATATTGACCGTGTTTATTTTAAAGTGATCCACTAGATGGCAGTATTCTGTCAGACAAAATAAAATATATGTCAAGAAAGAAGATTACTGCGGCATTTATGTAGGTCGGAGTTGCCAGCAACACGATATATATGTTGTCGAAATCACATCACGACACTCGTGAACTAACAAGGCTAATTCATACTGTGTGTTTTGTTCTTCTGGATTCAGAAAATGTTAAATGTGAGAATTCTCAGTGCGTAAAACATCGATATACACCTTGTTGTAAGATTTTCCGAGCTATGATGTGCATTTAAATGCAGCACGGTTGAAGGCAAGGGGATGCGGAAGTGACGTTAGGTTTTGCCTTACACGATCGACGAATTTGACAACAAAATCGGTTTATTTTCACTGCCTACGTCCAGTTTATCGTTTGTTCAAAATAAACGTGATCTGCGCTGGTATGAAGACGTTCATATGAAGACGTCTCTGTCTCTCCGCTGACGGTTTTAAAGCCACTCTCTTACGTCACCGAACCAACTTGTCGGTTTGCTGTCAATGGCCTGCACTTTTGAGAAAGTGTTGTGCGATGCGAGGACCCTTCTGGAGAGATTGAAGGATCACGACACAGCCGCCGAGGGTCTGATAGACCAAACCGGGGCCCTGGGACTCCGGGTGCAGAGCATGAAGGAGGTGGGGAACGCTCTGCCTGACAAGGTAGGACCCGTCCGTCTGATTACACGCTGTCAGTACACATAGAAACCACAGAGGGAAGGATGGAAGCGCCTGGTTTTAAGGGGAGTGAAGTAAAATGAGGAAATCTGAAAATGATGCTGTGCAAATTTTCATCTTATACTTCCTCGATGAAATCCAGGATAAAAGGCAGACTTTAAATGCTAATTTTTTTTGTTGCTTTAGAAGCAGGTGAACAAGCACACAAGTACAAGGAGGTTCTCTGATAAAATGTAAACTATATAATCTTTTTTTTAACCTATATACAAAATCAAGAGTGTAACTTTGCGATGAAAGTTGGTGGGGACACTCTAAGGGTGGAGGCTGATACATCTACAGTTAGTAAAGTCTAAATATGCAGATAAGTCTGCAACACAGCGAGGGATGATGGACAGGCTTGATGAAGACTTTAGTGTAATATTTTAATTGAGGATTCAATCTTTATTCAGGATTTAAGCAGAATATTATTAGTAGTATTGGTAGATACAGATTTTTTCCTACAAATTAGTGACCTGGGAATCTTAGTCCTTTCAGTGTGGTGATTCTGATGCATTCACTGGAAAGGTTGCAACAATGTGATGGAGAAGATTCCCAGTCATCCAGGTCATAGTCATTCCAAATAGTAAAAAAAAAAAAATTCCACCTAAATTTGTTTCCAAGTTTGAAGACATTTTGATTCCCATCCAGGACGCTTTTTCGAATAAAAAAGTCAGAAATAGCGTTGAGTTTGAGGTTTTATACAACAGCCTAAAAACAAATAAGTTCTTGGTCCAGTCTATAAAGGTCCAACATTTCCACCTAATGACCCCCTATCATCACAGACATAGACCAGTATTTGGTATTGCAGGGTTAAGGCTGAAGGCTGATTTATACTCAGAAACCAGGTCATCTGCGTTGCAGTGAATGCAATGCAGGATGCCTCTGATTGGTCAAATCTACATCCACTCTATACACATTTCCTGTCTGCTACCTTACCGGCTTGTTTTGTTTGTATGACCACCATTGTGGAAAATGACTCATAAAGATGGACCAGTAGAAGAGTGAGGAGAGCGAGAACACTGGAACCCTTTTTCCACCTGGATCCTCGCTCTTTTCACCCTCATGTCCCTCCGTTGTTGGACAAACTTGCCCCGACTTCCTCACCGCCTCGGCCGTATCTAGACCCACAGCTAGTTCATGATTGTCCCTCTTGCGTTGTGGCGTGGAATAACTTAGCGCAGACCACGCTTCAATACTGCTCATTAATCAGAAAAATCTGTGACAAGCTCACTACGACACACTGCTGCAGGAGTATAACCAGCCCTTAACAGGGGTGGAGCTGTTCGTCTGATTCAATTTGCACATTTTCTAAGCCAAAAAAGGCTTTGTTGGGCTACTGTATAAAGCATCGAACTCAACACTTTGTCTGACATTTTGAATTGAAAAATCTTCCTGAATGCGAAGCAATACATCTTAAAAGTTGGAAACAAAGTCCAGTGGATTGTTTTTTTTTTTTTTTTTTTTTCTTTTGGAAAAAGTTGCAACAGGGCTCTTTTCCAA